CAGTATCTGAAATATATTGTTTTTAAGTTTGAAATAAAAAAGCAAACACACAGAACATAACATAGAACTAAATTCAGGGTGGAGGAACAGTTCCGATGGATTTACTTCATGTTCATATGCCTGGCTTGCTACTTTTCAATTGACCTCCCTTAAAACAAAAAAATGTGTCTCATAGAAAACCGTTAAAGACAATTTGGAGTCCTTATAGTAAAGTCCGTCAGCCGATCTGGATGGGGCGCACCATAACTTTCAAAGTGGATTTGGTCCAAACTTTGTAAAACGTAATATTTCTTCCAACTTAGACAAAGTGGATATAGTGGGTTGATCATTTGTGAACCTTCCCCACGAAATGATTTAATAATCATAGATAATTTCAACCAAATTTTTAGAAAAAACTTCATCGGCTGTAATGGGTCAAGCTTTTGAAAATTTGTAAATCTTATATGAAGCCAATTGAGAATTCAAATACACCCAATCTTTGCACATTTGTAGAGGACGAGCTCCAGGTTCGTCCTCTACAAAGTGCAAAAAAAAAAAAAACGCGCAAGTCCTATTTTTATTAACACTACATTAAATTCGAAGATGGTATCTATCGTATCCAAATTGAACTGAACTTAGCAAGTCATAATATTTTTATCAAAAATATATCAAGTACGTAGGATGGACTAATCGGTGTATTCCTTCTGGTACATACCCCGCAATCGGCTATATATTCAAGTGTTTTTGAAATTTTCAAGGGTCCATCTCATATAGTCATAGTTCGAATTAATTTTATTTGTCCATGAAGACAAATAACCTGAACCTTAAAAGCATAGCTCTAAAAAACCGTCCTACCATTAGCCTTCATTTAATTTTTCGTCCAAATCTAATCAATCAATCATAAAATTCAACAATTGACCCAATTTTTTATTCCCCTCATTCTTTTCATTCTATTGTTTCAAAACAATTTAAATAAATAAAATAACAAAATAGTTTTTATTTGGATGAAATAAATATATAAACATTACTTTGCATTGTTGTAGGTCAGTGCCATTATTTTATTGCTGGTGCTGCTGACTTTGATTACTCTACAGATGGACAACGAATAGATGATGGCTGGGCTAAATTAAAAAAAAAAAAACACAAAACATCAACAACAACAAAAGTTTGCGTTGTTCTATTCATAGAATCTAGCTGATCAAGCTGCTGAGTGGTTGAATGGACCCGCGGATCGAACTAACTGAATAACGTGATACCGCAGCAGCTGAGAGGAATAACTGAATTTCTAGAATCGCACACACAAATTTGTTTGCATTGGCCCACTTCATGATCAATGAATCGTGTGTTTCTATATAAACAAACTCATATCAACGAAGAACACATTCATGCACACAAATACATTTTATATACAATTTATAAAAAACGAAACAACAAATTGTATTTAAATCTCAGTGGTTCGTTCGTTGCTGGTTTTGTTTAATTGCTTTCGTCTAGAAAACAAAATAAAAAAAAATTTGTTGGGTATAGATTTATTTATTAAGTGTGATCAACGGATTTATGAATGGGTTGAAAGTTTTTTTTTGTGAAATTAAAAAAAAACTAACACAAACTAATGACTCATTTTGTTTGTATTAAATGTGTTGTCATCAATTTCGTCAAAATGACGTTTTAAATTATCTCATATGGTCATGGATGAGGGTTTTTTTTTGAGGTTTTAAATTACATTCAAATTATATGGGTTAGGTCAGGTTTCGTGGGGAGGATTCAACAATGGTCAGTTAGCTGATTTTATGGTAAGCACATAGTATAAAAACCAACACAACGAAGTTACAATATTTGCGGATTAATAATTCGAAATATTCAAATTTTTTCACCCATTTATTGCAATGTTAGGTCGCATGCTTCTGTGGAATTGAAGTCATTCTTGAAAAACTATCGGACCTTTATTGATCATATTCTGCATAGATCTATGTCAGCCTTCAAAACTTCGGAATACAAAAATATTAATATCCTATCCACTATGACGGGAACATGCGGGTAAATCCTTCAAAATACCGAAAATTATGCAGATCCTATATAAAAATATGGATCTGTATCCTAAATTTTCTGAAAAGTAATTTTTTTGGTCTCTAACATGGATATATGTGTTTGGCGGGAAAATACATTATTATTATTTTTTGTGGAAATGGTTTAAAACAGTTATGGTCGGATTTTAGTCCTGGGCGATGTTACAACTGCTAATATGGCGGTTACCTTCGATCATTTCTCCGATTTTATCGACATTTTCGATGACCGGCCTACGTGTGCGTGGTGCATATTTAACATCAAAAATTCCTGAACGGAATCTACGAAACCAAAATTGCACATAATTGGATGTTACAATATCGGACCCAAAGGTATTTTCGCCTTTGTCAAAAAAAAAAAAACTGTAAAATGTACCGAATTTTCTCTTTGTGCACTTCCATTTTTAACGCCCTGTAACTCACAACTGAATTCACCAAACAAAAAACAGCAAAATAATTTTTTTACTGCGAAATGCTAACCTTCCAACGATCATAAATCTGAATTTGTTTGATCGATACTTCACGAGAAACCTATCAGTACAGTCATCTGTCGGAAAAATAATGAATTTCTTTTTCCCCAACCTAATATATTAATCATTTTCCACATAAATGTATGTCAGCCTCCAGAACCTGAAGGCCATGTTGGTGTGAAAATGCTACTAAAATCTTCAAACTACCAAAAGGTCGTTTCGAAAGGAACTAGTTCAAATGAGCTATTCCACAAAAGAATAGCTAATTATTATGAAATAAATAATTACTTAAAAATAAAAAACTCTTCAATGGAACTAGTTCCTATGTGACCTAACCTCAATTAATCACTCTTAGTAAGATGAATTATAGTAACAAATTCCAAAACAGATTAAATTCTTAAAATTTCTATTGATATATTTTTAGTACTCTAAGTGAATTTTGTCTCTGGTTCCTGAACAGGAATCGGTTGGTTTCAAAATGAATAACTTAATAATACATTTTTCAATATGAAAAGTGAAATTAATCGATTTTATAAAAAAAACAAGTTCACTTTTGCAATCTGAACATAATATGAATCATTTAAAAGATTGAACTCAATTTTCTTTTTGCAATAATGCAGTAACAAACAAATAAATAAATATTTTTATATAGATAACAGAAGTAAACAATAACAAAAAAATAAATTAAATTAAAAAATTGTATCGGTAAACTTGTGCCATTTTGTGTGTAAGTGAATCAACAAATAAAAAAAAATAATAAATTAAATAAAAATATTGTACACTTATTGTTTATCACGTTAGAAGAAGAAGAAGCAGGAGAAGAAAACGAAATGTGAGGCGGCGGAATACGTAAAAACAAACCAATAACGTTCACCACACCACTTAACACAAATATGAGAGCTTTAATAAACAACAACAATAATTTGGATAACATGTGCTAATTGAAAAATAAGTATTATTATGTAGAGCTTGCTCTGATTTGTTTTTTTTCAATGACCTTGAATTTAACCAGCGTTTTAAGCAAAATTGAAAAATTCAACATTTAAATTTGTTATCATGTTAATGGAGTGAAATGAAAACCACAATCGAGTTATGAAAAAAGCAATAAAATATTTTTGTTTATGTACATATTCTGATTAGAGGTTTTCATGTTTTTAATATCAATTAAGTAAAATTTAAATTAAATGAATCCAATATTTCAGAAATGAATACCACTTATAACTTGCATTTTCCGCAGAGCTGTATATTTCAGTTCATTAAATTGAGGGTTCAATGTAGTTCATTTCTTATGATTGAACTAGTTCGTTTAATCCTGTTCATAGTTTATGTGAAAAAATCGTGCACCGATTTTGTTCATTAGAAGCATACACCTTGGAAAATAGTTCTATCAGTTCATAAGTTCAACTATAGTGTCTGATCTAGTTCACGCGCCCTTTCAGTGAACCGTTCAATTGAACGAGGGAAATAAACAATTTTATTTTTATACGCTCCACAATGAGGTGAAGTGTTCACTAAATGTGTCATTTCATTTGCAGCAACTGGATCAGAATAGAAATAAACAAGGTCTGCTATTGAACTCTGAGGCCAGTTACTCTTAAGTAGAGATATTTTAAGGTTCGATACTTTAATGTATAGGCATTCAGGACAATTACTTTAAAGTAGTTGTCAGTTACTGATGAACGGAAAGAGTTTAAGGAGATAAATGAAATATCCAAAGGGGAGCTGTTGGCTATATCAAAAATCGCGTTTCAGAAGAGCTCCGATGGGATTACTTAGAACGATACAAGGTAGTTATTGATAAATATAGAACTGGCATTCACTGACCTAAGCCACACGTTCCTTTCAGTGAACTGAAGCAAAATCAACTAGATGAGCGAAAGAGCCAAACCTAGTACCGATCGTTCCTTTCGCGAAATAGTACCTTTAAACTAGTTCTTTCCGAATTTACCAAACTCTATTCATTGCAGAGTTCCAGCTCAATTCATACTACGCACCTAATTCTTATTAAATATCACGATTGTAATTTTATTCGAGTTTACAATTCACTATTCACTGATCTAGGCCACACGTTCCTTACAGTGAGCCATCCAATTGAACTAGTTCATACGAGTCCTAGCCATGTTTAATTTTCTGTGAACCATTCAATTGAGCTACTTATACATTCATGTGTTTTTTATTTTGTAAATAGTTCGTTCTGTTCATAAGTTGAACTATATTCACTGACCTAGACCATATGCACATTTTAGTGAACCGTTCAATTGAAATAGTCCATACGGGACCTCACCATTTCTAGTTTTCTGTATATTTCCTCAATGTATTTTAACACAATATATATAGTTAATCATGAAATATTAATAAAATCCTTAAAATATATTTTCCCAGCCTTGTTTCATCCATATTCATTTTTCTCTCCAATTATTTATTTTACAAAACAATTTATTTTTTAGCAAATAAAGATATAGAAAAATATCAACAATCGTATACTCACCTTAATACATTTGGATGTGACAATTTGTTAAGTAGTTGTACTTCTCTCAGCATATTTGGTCGATTGGCGCGTAATTGATTCATTTTTAAAACCATAACTTCACCCGTTGTACGATGAGTGACCTAAAAAAATAGAAAAATAACACAAAATTACAAAAACGTTTTAGAGATAATTAAAAAGAAAAAAAAACAACCAAACTATTGCCAAATAAATACAAACACACAAAAAATAATAACAATAATTATGAGTAATTGTTTTATGGAAAATAATAATTTCAAAAAACAAAACTAAATAAACTTCACACCATAACTCAAAACAATTGCCAATGTCGAGGTCATGTTGAAAACAATAAAGCTCAGCTCAGCACAGCACACAACACTTGTTACTAATAGACAGAAAAAAATAACAAAATAAATGAAATAAAATCTGAAATATGAACAATAGATGGAATGCTAAGCAATATAACACCTGAATATGTATTTCTACATAAAAAAATTATGCAGAATTTTTTTATGAGTTTGAAACAAAACTCATTTTGAAATTTTGAAACCCAACAAACAATTGTTTCTCATTCCTAAACAAAAAACACTTGAAAACACAATTTGCTAATAATTCCTGTCCACAAATAAACATCAATTATGAATTCACCAAAATATTCATTCATTTACTTGCAAACAATAACAAATGGTCAGTCAGTTTTCAAAATTTCGTAAGTGAAAGTGTTAATGACATTGAGCAAATAGCTAGCTAGCACCCTCAGTAAGTCAACCGGTTACCTAGCCAAGTAATAAATGATTTGCTCTCACCCACAAATGCATTTAAAAAAACAATTAGTAATGTAATTGAAGGTGATTAGCATCAATTTGGCAGAGAAAAAATTTTAAATCAGGAAAAAAATCGGTAGGTCGAACAAAAAATACTACATCCCGTATAACAGATAGTAATTCATATGAAGGAAATGGAACTTCAGGAATTTTGAATACATATCTTCTCTAAAAATTATTTTTTACTAACGGTTGTACTTCTGTGTTGAAGGAGCAATATTACCCGCCTAATCTATTCTCGGTTTAAATAAATCGATTTTTTTGAACCGCTCAATTGAAACAGTGAATACGTTACCTCACAATTTCTGTAGTGTAGTTAGAAAGGTCATTCGTTCACCCAAGACCAATTGTACTAAATTATTTAGACTTAGCTACACATAGTACATATTACCAAAACCAAATCCTTAATCCGAACCTACTGTTTAAAAGCGAAAAATTAAAAAAATCTTTATATTAATCCTATAGACTAATTTAAATACCGAGTTTCAGGATTCTAGCCCGATTCCTTCAAATGCACTATGTTTTGTAATTCTCCTACACATGTAGAACGAATTTTCAAAACAATGGTTTTCCAATTTCAGCCATTCATACCAAAAGCACTATACTTTAGTACTTTTCGTATTGTCAGAATAATTTATCACAATCCTATATATAAATATGCTTGGGCAATCTCGTTTCTGATTCGAATCGCTCCGCAAAAGGAACTAGTTCCTTTTAGTTCAATCGTTCATTGATACACGGCGGTTAATTCGATTAATGAACGGGAAGATCTGGATGGGTGATAAGATCAAAATGAACAAGGTAAACCAGAGCAAATATGAACGGCTGGATCAAAAGGGAGCAAAAAAACCTAGTCCCGATCTTTCATTTCGCGAAATAGTTCCTTTGAACTAGTTTTTTTTCGAAATTAACCAAATATATTTGAGTGTTGCAGCTCTATTCCTACTACGCACCAAATTCTTTTCATTATTTGTTTCGTTAATCATTGCCGTCGAATGAACCATGAACTATACCATCTATTCTCTGACATCGACATAGTCAGACATATCGAGCTGCAGCGACTACGTTGACTAGGCCATGTTGTGAGAATGGATGAAGATGGCCCAGCTCAAAAGGCATATAAAAGGGAGCCAACTGATGATTCACGCAGAAGGTAAAGGTCGCGAATCCGATGGAAAGATCAAATAGAAGACAACATCTCCTAAAATGGTATTTCAAATTGGATGAGATACGCACAAGACCGACGTGCTTGGAAATATTTTTTAAACTCGGCTTATGGAACAATTGTTCTGTCATAAGCCAGGTAAGTAAGTAAGCATTGTTGTTTTAATTTCAGCTGTTTTAATTAGGCTGCAATTTAACCTAGATACGGAAGCTGCCATCTATCGTTGCCTAGAAACAACGCTTCCCTGAATTTTGTGCAGTGGTTGGGGTTCAGAACCCCAACAACCTATGAAGAAGAATGTACCTTTTAACAAATATCACGATCATAGTTTTATTAGACTTCAAAGACCCATACAGTCGATTTTTTGCGATAGCGAAAATATGCGGTTGGAAATGTAGAATTCAGAGTAAAAAGAAAAAAACCTGTGGTTGGCGTTAAATAGTGTGAAAGGCTACAAACTGTTGGATCCCGGGTTCAAATTCCATCGGATTTCAGAGTAAAAAGAAACAAATCCGTTGTTGGCGTTGGATAATGTGAAATGCTACAAAATGATGGATCCCGGGTTCAAATGCCAGCAGAGCAGGAGAAATTATTTCAATTTACTACTAACTGTCTTAAAAATATTTTTTATATTATAAAATTTGGCCTTAAATCAATTAAAAACATAGCTTCTAATAGTATTTCAGTTTAATAGAATTTTAATGAGCTAATTTAACATATAAGCACTCTTCATAAACAATTTAATATTCGACCATCATATATCACTAAAAAAATTAATAACTCGATTTTTTAACTAAAAATTGTAAACAATTAAATTTTATGCTTCCCCGAAATAAAAAACCTTAATAAAATTCCTTGGAATGTTAGTTAGTGAATGTGTGTTTTTTTTAACATAAAAAACATGACATTTCAAAATCCAGTCAATGGAATAATAAATTTTCGTTAAATAAATGTTTAGACCAGAGACCTGTTGTCTGGACACGAGTTGCATGACAGACGACTGTGTACACCAGGGCAACAGCATATGTGAGTGTAAACAATGAATAATGCAGTGAGTGAGTGTGTAGAGAGTGCATCCAGTGAATTGGGGGTCACCAAAAATAGTTGCAAAAAATCTGTGAAAAAAAAAACAATAATGACCTTAGGCTGAAATCATAAATATTTTGGTGGCCATAATGGACATGACTAAAGTTTTGTTGTTGTTGCATAGCCATTTCACAGCAAAACATTTACCCATAAAAAATTGCCTGCAATTTAATAAAAGTAAATAAAAAACAAACAAAAGTTGGATCATATGTTTAGTTAAGCTAGTTGAACTTTCTAATAAATAACATTTCTGTGTGTGAAAAATACTTTTTACTACTTTTTTATATAAATAATAGTTTTTAACGTAATAATAACAATAACATAATGCAATATCATATTGCATATGGATTTTGCATGTAGTTTTGATTATGTTAGCGAAGGAGGCGGAGTTGTGTTTTTTTTTTGTCTGATGTTGTCGAAATGACAAAGCAGTGATTGTATGATAGTGATGGTTAATGGCAAAGAGATTTTACAGTCTACCGAACAATTATCCATTCATTATATTGGAAAGAAATATAAACCGTGAGAAAAAACTTTGTTCGATTTTCTTTAGTGCGCAAAAATTATTGTGATTTTCTTGGTAATTAAAGCAAGAATATTTTTCAACTTCTTCAATTAACTTCAATTAAAATTTTCGAGTGGCAAGGTTATTTCGTTAGAATTTTGGAATACGCTTGAATTAATTTCTAGTTGCTGCATTAAAAAATCACCGAGATAATGCACCGCGTTGTAAGTCGCTGTAAACAATTGGCCAAATACAGTATTATCCGGATTCGAACCCAGCACAATTTCTTCTTCCTAGATCTTAAAAGGAGAGAAAAGCTAAATCAACAAACACATAACAAGTCAATATATGTAGATACTGTAAGTTCTAAAATATTAAACGAAGTAGGTACTAATTTCATCATTTGTGTTAGTTTCGTTAATCATTGTTGATTTTATTCCAGCTAAGTATTGGTTTCCTGTAACCTGTTCTAGAGAATGGACCTGCCATCTATTGGTGCCTAGAAACAACGCCTCCCAGAATTTTTGCAATGATTGGGGTCCTCGCTTATTTAGTGTTGCTATTTTCTCAACAACATTTAGGCGGCATTAAATCTTTGAAACGACGAAATCATTAATTAATTAATTCCAACTAGATGGGCAAACTGCCATCTATCGTTGCCTCAAAACAACGCCTACCTGAATGTTGTGTAGTGGTTTTGGTCCTTGCTAATTTAGTGTTGCTGTTTTCTTAGCACCATATAGGCGGCATTGGATCGTTTAGAGGACGAAATCACCAAAACGACGCACCAACTCGCAAGTTACTGTAAACAATGGCAAAATACTGAAATTTCCAGATTCGAAACCAGCGACTATTTTCTCTTCCTAAATTTTAAAAGAATGATACAAAAGAAGAGCTTAATCAACACTCAAATAAATGTATTTGGAGTTATTATCCTGTTGCTCCTGTAAGCGTTTCCACAAAACATCGTCATATTTGCTCGATCAATTCTTGTGTTAGTTTCCTTATTCTAGGTAAGTAGATGATTGATCTGCTGTAGCCAATCCTAGGTTATGGGGATGACATCTATCGTTGCCTAGAAACCATGTTTCCTTGAACTTTGTGCTGTGGTTGGGGTCTTTGCTGATTTAGTGTTGCCATTTTCCTTTGAGTGCCGCTATCTACTGTCACTATATGGGTGGCATTGGATCGTTGAAAGAGCGAAATAATGCTCGTCGGATGAAGAGATGATCTGTGAAACTAAGAACTAGAGAACAAATTGTACTTCAAGATTGACGAAAAGTTTGACAAACCCTACAACATAAAATGTCCTTTATAAAACTTCCATAGCGTAACTAATATGGTGGTTGAGGTATAAAAGCGGTTCAGTTTTTGGTCAAAAACTTACGCACAATCATCTATGTTTTTATGTAATTAAATATATTCTTATTGAGCCTAACATTCGATTTATGTAACATTTACTGTGCCAGGCTTTTGCAAGCCTCCGAACCCAATTCTTGGGAAATTCCAATAGTTCCTTTCTCTGAATAGTTTCTTTGAATA